CGTCGTACGCAAATACAGAGACCGGACTCTCGATTGACCAATCCTAATGTTAAACCGTAGCTCGGCGAACCTTATACAAAGATGTTCACGGAAACGGTTGCTCAAGTCATACGCGATCGTCAATAACCGCGATATGCATACGCGACGAGAAACGGAAATGTAGAGGTAGAGAGGAAAGAAAAAAAAAACATGAAAAGGGGTGAAAGGCAAAGGAAGGGAGAACGGCCTTAATAATTTACTCACCCAAAACTTCGTGCCACAGAACTCGTCCATCGTTTGATTTTCCATACTGACACATTTAATTAGCCGGCGAACTTTCTCATGTATAACGTGCCGTTCGCGAACACAGTGCCAACCAAAAAATCGTAGACCGACCTTTCTTCGCCTATGAGAAAGGAAAGGATCACTCTCGGTCACCCCTCGCTCGTTCACACACTGCCCGCTAGCGATTCACACTACACTACGGCACACAATACAATGCGAGCAAAGCACCTACGACACTCACAAAATGGAAGGGGAGAGGGGAGGGAGGATCCAGAGAATCTACTACGAGCGATGCGAACGAGCCATTCGAGTCGGATGTTGCCTCAAAGGCATCCAAAGGCGTCTGCGAGATTGCGAGAAAGCGTGAAATAGCCGGACGAGAACAGTCCGTCGTTGTTTGTCGTGTAGTAATCCGTTGTGTTCGAGCATACCGAGTGAAAGTATCCGATATTGTCCGACCAATGAATATGGAGAAACGAGATGGCATAGCCGACTAGGAGCGACGAGGGTGGGGATTGTTTTCGACGAATCGCGATCGCGGATTCGGACCCGGGCGGGAAAATCGCGCTTGTATTTTACAAATCGTATTCACGTGCACGTTACATGTTATTCTGACAGTTTTCGATAATTCTCTCTTTGGAAAAGTATCTTTCGACAAAAATGTCTCTGCTTTACGATCTTCTCTATTGTAAGCGATTACGAATAAAGATGAGTTCTCTTCGAGAATCAAGCTTCTCACGCGAGCTTCAAGCAAATGACATTTTCAGTTCAAATGTATTATATTGTTATAAAAGATTTGAATTTTTGTTTTATAAACAAAAATATAAATATATAAGTAAGAATTGGATAAATATGGATAAAATGATCCCGTTGGGATAACCTCTGATTAAAATATATCTCTCGATGCATAGGCTGGCGAAAATAAGATTAACGATAGATTTTGTCGTTAATATTAGTTGTCTCATTAATGTCACTTATACGTTCAATTTATCGCTTTTGTAATAAACATGAATATACATATATATTGAACGAGTGGAAAAATAAATTCGAGGTTTTTCAAGTATGTACCTGTGTGTTTTGTGTTTTATTTCTGAATGAATTTTATTATATATTTTTTTATTCGATGTTGCTATTTTATTTATCCGTCAAAAAGACTCTACTCGTTCGCTCTAGTATATAGTTCTGAGAATTATTTATTCACGGTGTAAACTTGTTTACAATAGACGACATATATATAACTACATATCAAACAATTCGATGTATGTATATATTCTCAGCCATTTTTTTTTATCTCTTTCTATCCTATTTTTTATTTACACACAGTTTTCACATAGAGATATCTGTAAAAAAACTTACACGATATACACGTTATTTGTCGTATATACGTGTAATTCTATTTATATATATATATATATATATAATTGCGGGTATCCGACTATCGCGAAAAAGCGCATTTATATAACATCGAATGCGTGAACGGAGACCTTGGAGAATCCGAGAGAGATGATCACGTATCTTATTGAATGCTTATATATAAGAGAGAATACGTGAGAGAATATAAGTCCTTGTTTTAAGCACGAATTAAATACACGCATGTAACACATGCACGTGTATACATATGGAGAGCGATCACGTATTCACACAGTCATGTAGTACCATTGACATTACTATATACTGTAATATATGTGTGTGTGTGTATGTATCGTTGCACAGCTCGCTTGAGAAGTTTCGATTGCGAAATCGAGCGCAATTTAATTTCGCGAAGTTAGGATAACACAGTATAACGTATTATTGCAACAAAATTGGAAGTCCAATATATCAAGGAAATGGTGACACACATTTACAACACGTTAGCCTTTCAATGTCAATATCAGCTGATATGAATTAGTAGCTGATTTCTCGGATATTTTATATGCCATGTCATTGAATTGAATATTTGAGTGTCTAATTTTAATCTGATATTAATATTGATATAATTTCATTTTTTTAGATCTTGATGAGAATGCGCGAAAAATGATCTCTATATTTCTTTGCGATAATCAATATTCTCTATCTTTTTCTCTTTCGTATATTATACAGTATTGGAAATTAGTCCAGCTAAAATGATATCACTTTTAATCCTTTTTGAAAAGCATTGCATACATGTATAACACGTTATTATGATTTAATATCGTGAGACATTTATCATCTAAAAATGTGCCGCGTCATATAGTATAAATATAGATACTGATGACAAAATGACAATCATTGCGATGATTACAACTGCAGTTATATCGCAAATGGAAATTTTAATATTTTATTATGAAAAAATTGGAGATTTAACATGTTTCGGTAAAACTATAAAAATATATCATTCGTAATTTATATATATATATACATAGTAATATTTACTATCTGAAGCATATGTTACCAATTTTTGAGATCACATCATATGGAACAGAAAAATAATATAAACAAAAATATTATAGAAAGCATTATAATTTTAAACAATAATGACTGAATTATATATAGTTTTCTCTTTAGATAAAAATCTCCTTTTATATTATAATTCTCCCTTTGGTCTTCCTTTTATTTACGTGTATTATGTCATCTTTATATTCTTTCTATTTTTATATTCTTTCTATTTTTAAAATTTATTTATAATGCGCGACTTTAAAATCTGATAAAATATTGTGCTACTATACGTAATCGTAATTATGATAAATGACATCTGTTTTTGTGTCAAAAGATTGCATTCACAAAGAATGACAGCTTGCGTCAGCTAAACAATTCTCCGTGTGTATGTATGTGTGTGTGTATGCAAATATACACACATTCACATAGCTTTTAGACAGCACGATTATAATGATACGAAACACCAGTTTCGCACAATGGATTCGTGCGTTCGACGAGGCGTACGCTAAGTGGACAACGACAATACATTGTCTCTAGACTCTAAATAAACGCTGAGTCATAGTGTTAAATTTTCTTTCCGTTATCTATTAGATTGTAGTATATTATTCCGGCACAAGGGTATGCACAAAAATTAGATGAAGAGAAATCTCTTCATTTCCAGTTTCAATGTAAATTATGTAAGGAATAAATATTTTAAGAATTTCAGAATTGGTTCCATATTACATAACTATGCTCAAATAATGACATCAGTAAATATAACACGATAACGAAAAATATGCCCGCGTCACTATAAATGCCTCACCCTGTATATTATATAAGTGCAAAGCACATTATATGGCCTCAATTAAGACAAATCATATTTATCCAATTCATAATATTTAACAATTTTATAATTATATCGTCAAAAGAATATCAGATTATATATATATATAGATACATATTGAATCAAAGAAAGAAAAATGAGATATGCCTACGAGATAATTTACATCTCGTTAATGACTCGACATCAGTACGATATTGATGATGACAAGTAATTAGTTAACATGATGTAATGTTTAATATGACAAAAAAAGCGCTAGGACGTTTTGTCTTATCGTTATATATTTCATTTTCACACTGTATTTAATTAGAATAATACATTATTGAAAAATTTCTGTATAACTACAGATTATATATTTATATATAAATATAAAACACATGATTAAATTAATATTGGAAATAATTTTATTTTCGTATAAAGTCATTCACCTCTTCTTGCTAAAATTACACATCTCTAATCTAAAATTCCGTGATCTATATTTGAAAAATGCTGTGTATGCGAAATTGCTCGGCATAAGTATATTACGCTTACTATTATTACAAAGAAAAATATTTTATGCTTACTAATGCTAGCATTAAGCCGCGAGCATTGGAATGTATCTTTGATTAAGACGAATGATTCAATTGACCAGGGCTGGTTTCAATGGATTGCTCCAAATATCTGATATTCTTTTAACCATACAATTATAAAATTGTTGAATATTATGAATAGCATGTGAATAGCATATGTATATATCATATAATAAGAAGTATATTCGTACTTAGATACAAAGTGCCATTATCTTCACATTAAGTATGTTTTGTTCAGTATTATTTAGCATACGGCCCTGATACAAATAAATAAAATAAATGATTCATCGATTAACTTCGACATACTTTTTATTATATGATATATCTATCTTTCAATTTCATATGTACAAAACAAGGAGACCTGTATATATGTAATTGTAGATATCTAATTGTGCATGTGTACTGAATAAAGTTTCCATTCAATTTTATAATAGACGATCGTTATCTGGGAATTGAGGCTTTCTATAGATATGTTTATGATTTCAAACACCTATCCTGCCCCCCATGACACTTATTCTAAGAATTATGTGGTACACGCGTATATGTATATAAGGTACGAGTGTAGAATATATATTGTCATACATAATAAATTAATTAAATAATACATTTCATACAGTGTCCTATATATTTTAAAGTAGCTATTATAATTATATGAAGTATGAATAATTTATTTTATAGCTATCTACAATACTAATTTTACAAGTAACAAAATAATATTTAAGATATACAAAACTGTGTGTATACGTTGTATGCATATTTCAAATCACATAATAAATATATTTTTCTGGAACATTTTTTTACGTGATATCACCTTCTTCATTATTTAATAAATGATTTTTAGCAAGGAATTATACTATCTGTTAGCTAAATGAAATTTGCGATGTATCTTCAAGTTTTTATCATTTTGAGAATAATTAAGTTATTTTCAAAGTAATGTATATATACTGCAGAAATAGGAGAAAATTTATTATTAGAATTCTTTAAATTGTATAAAAACTTTTAAATGAAGAATGGAAAGTGCACTTTTTTCTGTTACTATAAGAATTTGTTAAAACAATGTAGCAAATAAAAAATAAGTTTATTTAAATTATATTGCTATCTCGATAAGATAAAAACTTTATCCTAAAAATAAATATGTAATGCAAATAAACATGATAACATGATGATTTACTCTTCAAGTTGAAAATTTTAATTATTCTTTTTTACCTTTAGAAGATATTGAGCTACTGCCATCCTGAATTAAATTTCACAGTAGATCATTAAAAATTTCTATTACGTTTGATAAGTCTGAGTGCTGCTGAATAAAAGTGTTAATAACTCTGGTTCTGTCAAATTTCTTTTGTATTTTTGCACCATCTCTTGAATTTTTAAACGTCTTCGTACGTGCGGCGGATGATAACTGAAACAAGGATACATATATATATTTTATCCAAGATAAAAGCTTACAAAAAAAGATAGTGTAGGAAATTTCAATAACAAAAACATACATAGAATATAATCAACAGCATAAGTTAAAAAAGTACATAATTTTTTTTATTATTAATATTATCATACCTATCATTATCAAGTCTTTTTCTACGTCCCATATTAAGAGCTGTTTGTCTAACTAGAATTCCCAAGACTCTTCTTGACACTACCATACCATCAATTAAAGGTGTTGCCAAATTGATTCTAGAAATTGGTCCTTGTAATCTGACCCTCATCAATCCATTAGCGAGAGCTTGAAGGAAGATAACTTGCACGTCACTAGCTTGCAGCATCCTCGATTGCTCCAGTCCGGTATAAGTGGAAGGAAGCAAATCGCCTATGTAAATTCAATAGAAGTGATTTAATTTAATTAAAGAGAAATATATATAATATATATGATTGCAATAAAATATTTAAATTAAAGCTTCCGGGAGTTTCACGAAACATCTTATTTGTGTACCGACGGTATGAAAAAAGAAGCAAACGAACCTATCGGGAACTGTGTATGATCCTCTAGACTCTCTAGCCACACAACCATAATTTTTGTATTGGTTTGTAAAGGTAGAGCTTGTTTTATTGTTCTTCTGGGTCTGATGGGATCCGCACTCGAGGAATTTGTCGGACCTATTCCCGACAAGCTCGACGGCTGTTTCTCTAAATCAAGCGACATCGCTCTAGAAGTCGACGTTGTGTTCTGCGACGCGCCACAGCTCCGAGTATCCGTACTTTCACTGATACTGCGCTCAAACCATGCTGCGATATACATAAATTATCATTGAAAAATCACATTACACATTATAAATTATAATACAAGAGAACAGATAATTTATGACAAAAGATTCCTCATGCAAAAGCGATGCATAGTGCAAAATATGCATTTCTTAGTAAAGGCTGTTTTTCCCTA